CATGGTTGATTATCAAACATATTTGATTCGCTAATTTTTAGAGTATTGTGTATGAATATGGCATTTGGTTGGTATGCTTGTCTCTTTTAAACTATTTTCACTATTTTCACTATTTTCGAGTTTACAAATATCATAGTTTGCTAAAGATTTATTGCACAGGGTTCGGTTTTTTCTCTACTACCTTATAACATCTATCTCACTTTTCATCTTTATTTGTTTATGTATTATTCTCTTATGCATGTTCATGCATTTATCTTGCTCTTTCACTCTTATTTTTACTCTTCTTATCCGGTTTTTATTTATGGCTATTATTTTTTTTACTAACGCTACTTTTCTACGTGGATTGCATGTAGCATCGAATCCATGTACCAACTACTGCCGTCATTCCACCCGGTTCCCGGACACATGCTTACTCGCTCTGATCCGGTCTCAGGCTCGGTCCCCATCTCATCACCTGAGTATTATTCCTGTTCCACAGTTTCCCGACGTAACCGGCGCTCTGAGCAACCCTCAATGTCCTCGGACACTTTGTGTAATCTACTTTCTGAAGAGCTCTGTATTGATCTCGTCAGTCTGGCTTTACCCAGTTTGACCATTTGTTCCACTGAGACATGCACAAATACAACAGCAGGCAGTTTTATTCCTTTGTCTGACATCTTCCTACCAAGACAAGTAGTTTTTCCCATTGTTCCACCTTATTTGGGACAATATGGCGAGGTACTATTATAATAGATTTTTTACATTTAAATAATTCGTCATTATTTAATTAGCTATAAAACAAGATTAGAGATAAGTCTGTTTAGATTATAATTGACGATTTTTAGGATTTGATAAGTCACAAGTATTATTAAATATTTTTAGTTAACTTTTCAATTTCCAAATTTTCCGCACAGATTTTTCCACAGAAGGTAGCTTTTAACTTTGTAATACACATTTATGAAAAATTAAAATAAATATTGAAGATGTGAAGACCAAGATGTTGTGGCCTCGGGTATGGTCGCAGTCTCCTTTCGACTTATAG